TTTTTTGGTAGGGAGGTTTTTGATAACCTCTTCTAATTCTTCGCGACTAACAGGTCTATTTAGATTGTTCACCAGGTCCTGATTTAACTTTGGTATATGATATTTATCTAAGAAGGTATCCATTTCCTTTACATTTTCCAATTTTGTGGCATATAGGCTTTTGTAGTAAGATCTAATGATTCTCTGAATTTCCTCTGTGTCTGTGGTTATGTCCCCCTTTTCATTTCTGATCTTATTAATTTGCAAATTCTCTCTCTGCCGTTTGATTAGCTTGGATAGTGGTTTGTCAATCTTGTTGATTTTCTCCAGGAACCAGCTTTTTGTTTCATTGATTTTTTGTATTGTTTTCTGTGTTTCTATTTTGTTGATTTCAGCCCTCATTTTGATTATTTCCAGTCTTCTACTCCTCCTAGGTGAGTCTGCTTCTTTTTTTTCTAGAGCTTTCAGGTGGGCTGTTAAGTCTCCAATGTGAGCTTTCTCTGTTTTCTTTAAGTGGGCACTTAGTGCTATGAACTTTCCTCTTAGGACTGCTTTCATAGTGTCCCATAAGTTTGAGTATGTTGTTTCTTTATTTTCATTGAATTCCAGGAAGACTTTAATTTCTTTCTTTATTTCTTCCTTAATCCAGCTATGGTTCAATAGTTGACTGTTCAGTTTCCATGACTTTCTATGCTTTCTGGGCGTAGCATTATTGTTGAATTCTAACTTTAATCCATGGTGATCTGATAAGACACAGGTGGTTACTAATATTTTTTTGTAACTGTGGATGTTTGCTTTGTTACCGACTATGTGGTCGATTTTCGAGAAGGTTCCATGAGCTGCAGAGAAGAAGGTATATTCTTTCCTATTTGGATGGAATGTTCTATAGATGTCTGTTAAGTCCATTTGGTTCATTACCTCCACTAATTCTCTTATTTCTCTGTTAGGTTCCTGTCTGATTGACCTGTCCATTGGTGAGAGAGGAGTGTTGAAGTCTCCTACTATTAGTGTGTGCGGTTTGATGGCTGCCTTGAATTTTAGCAATGTTTCTTTTATGTACGTGGGTGCTTTTATATTAGGGGCATAGATGTTCAGGATTGAGACTTCATCCTGATGAACTGTTCCTGTTATGAGTATAAAATGCCCCTCTCCATCTCTTCTGATTGATTTAAGTTTAAAGTCAACTTTGTTAGAGATTAGTATGGCCACACCTGCCTGTTTCTTAGGTCCATTTGCTTGATAGGCCTTTTCCCAGCCCTTTACTCTGAGTAGGTGCCTGTCTTTGTGGTTGAGGTGTGTTTCTTGTAAACAGCAGAATGTTGGATCCTGTTTTCTTATCCAATCTCTTAGCCTGTGCCTTTTTATAGGTGAGTTGAGTCCATTGACATTAAGTGATATTAATGACCAGTGGTTGTTAACTCCGGTCATTTTTTTTTTAGTCGTAGAGTTTGTGTGTTTCCCTTCTTTGTTTTGTGTTGGTGAAGGGTCTCTAGATGTCTGAGTTATTGTGGTCATTGTTGGACTCCTTGGTTAGTGATTTTCCTTCAATTACTTTCTGTAAGGCTGGATTTGTGGCTGCGTATTGTTTAAATTTGTTTTTATCCTGGAAAATTTTGTTTTCTCCATTTATAGTGAACGAAAGCTTGGCTGGGTATAGTAATCTGGGCTTGCACCCATGGTCTCTCAGTTTCTGCAGTACATCTATCCAGGACCTTCTGGCTTTCATGGTTTCCATGGAGAAGTCAGGTGTAAGTCTGATAGGTTTACCTTTATAAGTAATTTGGCCTTTTTCCTTTGCAGCTCTTAATATTCTTTCCTTATTCTGTATGCTTTGTGTTTTGATAATTATATGGCGAGGGGATGTTTTTTTTTTGATCCAGCCTATTCGGTGTTCTGTATGCTTCTTGCACCTTCATAGGAAAATCTTTCCTTAGGTTGGGAAAGTTTTCTTCTATAATTTTATTAAATAGATTTTCTGGACCATTGAGCTGCCCTTCTTCTCCTTCTTCTACTCCTATTATTCTTAGGTTTGGTCTTTTTATTGTGTCCCATATTTCCTGAATGTTTTGTGATGAGAGTTTGTTGGACTTGCTGTTTTCTTTGATCGGTGTGTTTATTTTCTCTATGGTATCTTCAGAATCCGAGAGTCTTTCTTCTATCTCTTGTATTCTGCTGGTTATGCTTGTTTCTGTAGTCTCTATTCGTTTACCTAGATTTTCCATGTCCAGACGGCCCTCTGTTTGTGTTTTCTTCTTTGCCTCCATTTCAGTTTTCAGGTCTTGAACTGTTTCCATTATCTGTTTGATTGTTTTTCCTTGGTTTTCTAGGGTATCATTCACTGATTTATTCAATTCTTCAAACTTTCTGTTATATTTCTCATCCATTTCTATAAGGGCGTTTTTTACATGCTGTTTAAGGGTGTCAATCACTTTCATGAAGTCAATCTTTTCTCCTTCCTCTTGATTAAGGGGTTCTTGTCCTCCCGTTGTGAGGTCGCTTGTTTCTGGTAGCTTCATGTTGCTTTTCAGCTTGTTGGGCGAATTCTTGCCTTGACGTCGGCCCATCTCTTCTTCCAAATGCTCCCTATGGATCTTCTTTTACCGGATTAGGTCTCCTTGCCTACCAAACGCTGTCTCTCCCCAATGTTGGCTCTCCCAATGCTGGGTCTCCTGGCGCCGAAAGATCAGGCCTCCGTGCTGGTTGGGCAGCTCGCAGACAAAGCGCCTACCCCGCTTGGTGCAGGCAGGCCACAGAAACAAAGGAACTGCTGCCCGCCCGGGAGCCCTGGATACTCGGACCCTGCGCCCAGATAGGCTGGGCTGGGCGATGCCACGCGCCTAAAGAGGGCAGTGGGGGCGAAGTGGGGAGGGCTCTGGACGGAAGCTGGGTGGGCCAGGAAGAAAGAGGCAGCACCCGGGGAGTAGAGGCCCTGCAGAGAGCCCAAGCAGGACAGGGGGCCAAGAAACCCCCGAGCTCCCCGTCCCAGGCTGGCGCCGTGGGCCAGAAACTCACCCCAATGCTAGGTCTCCTGGCGCCGAAAGATCAGGCCTCCGTGCTGGTTGGGCAGCTCGCAGACCGATAATGTATTTTTTAATGACTGATTTTTTTCTTATTTAAATATCTATGTGCTCGTCTTTGCTCATACAGACATTCTTCTGCTGCTACTGCTTATTCGGTAAAGTTGAATGGAGTAAGCTTCTATATAGTTGTAAATTTGAGAGAATATAAATATCTTCATCAAAATAGTTATAAGTCAGTGAACTATTCTCTAATTTGTGGTACCATGGAGGGAATACAGACCTTATATATGGTAGCAAGCACTTTACTACTAGACTGATATACCCAGTTCAATTTTCTAATATTTTGTGGCATTTTCTAACTTATTTTTAAACCCCTTTTCCATAGATTTTCACATGCAGGCATTTAACCCAAAGAATCACTGGTCTATTTTGAGGCCCCTGGTCTCTGCCGTACCATCAACACTGGGCTCCTCCTGGAACTCTTCCTGAATGTCCCGTTGATGCCCTATGTAATGGAGACTGTGCAGCCCTGGGTCTACAGCAGTCCCCACTCCTACCCCAATCCCGTGCTCCAGGAGTTCATAGATGGGGTGTGTGTTGGGCTGGGCCAGCACCTAACCCTGGTTCTGGACCTAGGTAGTTACAGGGTTGGTCAGCCTGCCAGCTCTCCCATCTTTTCAATCAGGTTGTGGTTTTCACGATTTCCCTGGCTAGATCACCCCTGAGCAATGAACAAAGCCTCAGGACAGGATCTCCCACACCTACACCTTCGGGGACCTCTCTGCTGTTACCCAGGAGAGGTGTAGGGGCTGCTCTGTTAGGTGTTGCAGCTGATGAGGGGCAGAAACAGCTCTCCTGCTCTTAAGACCTCAGAGCCAGCTCTTTTACCTGCCTCGGGCTTTGACAGACTGGAGGGAGGGGGAAAGATATCTCTCCTCTACCCGTGATTGAAGAAGGAGGCTTAAAAGAAATCCCACACTAGCTCAGAATTGAGAAATAGACGGTTATTTATTTATGGGTAGACTCACAAATCAGAATCCTCTGCTGGAACGGAGATCAGAAACAGAATCCTGCAGCCGGAAAAGAAGCCCAATGCATGCTCTACAAATTGTATAAGAGGCCACGCCCCAGTGGGCGGGTAACTACTGGCTGTAGGATTGATTGTATAAGAGGCCACGCCCCAGTGAACGGGTAACTACTGGCTGTAGGCTTTCCTACAGCACATAGTGCCACGTGACAGAGGAGTAATGTGGACAGCTCTCCCTTGCTCACAACATTGGAGCTGGATCACTTACACCCCCACCAACAGGGTCAGCTCTGTTGTGCTGCTCTCCTGAACGTTTGAACTGGTGGGGGCAGGCTCTCCCTCCTGCCTCAGGCATTGATGGGTATCTCTCCCCAACCCATGCCACCACATGGCAGCTGAGGGATGGGGTTAGGTCTCCCATGCTTGCATTCTCGGGACTGGCTATTCTGTGCCCGAATCAACAGGGTCATCTCCACTGTACTGCCAGAACGAGACGCGAGTACAGCATCTGTTAAAGGAGTCATCATCTTTGCCAGCTAAAGGCAGAAGGGGCAAGAGGGGCGGGCATCTTTTCCTCCTCCACATCACCACACAATACCAGCTACGCCCCTCTCAGACCCCTGTCTACTCTATATGGCTGCCCATGAGAGGCAGGGGGCCCATTCTCCCGAGCATTACAGCTGGTAAGGGACTGGGTCAGGTCATCACCAGTTGTAGGTGTCAGAGGGGCAAGTGGAGGAGTTTTTCCTAACTTTTAAATCATTTAGAAATTTGATAGTTCTGCAAACATTTGACATGCATCTGTGCTGTAAATGGAAAGCTGTATTTGTAATTATTTTAATCAACTTTCTGTCATAAAGTTCCATTAATTTTCATCTGACTATTACATGCTTGTGGCTATGTGTAATAAGAGCACATGTTAATTTAAAACACAGACTCTACTGATGATCCATGTTTTAAAACTGTCTTGGCAGGATCTACGAATGTATTGGCACATTCTCTTTGTGGAATTCCTCACGTGGTGACTTCGACTATGCACATTATCATGGGTAAGAATTCTAGAGAGGGCCAGGTAGAATACGCACGCTTTTGTTCATATAAGAAGCTGTGTTTCTGTCAGTCTTATCCAGGGATGGAATGTTCTCTGTCTCTAAGCATAGAAATGTTTGTCTAAAGCTCAAAGGCAAGCCATCGTCTAGTTAAATTGCTTTTCAGTTCAACCACATGCTTTGGAAAGAGCAGTACATGAAGTTTATTACTATTATCTTGATGGAAAAAATATTGTAATGATGTTCAAAAAATCACAGTTTTAAAACACAATGGATAAAGTCCACGCATACTGTTTGCATATATAACCTGCGCTATTGTTTGACTGTTCCAAGACTTCAGGACTAAGAGCACATTATCAGAGGAGGAAAACTACCAGGGCATGCCTGCAGGTCATAAGTTATCCGGATAAACGCAATGCAAAGCTAATATTAACTCTGTTTTCCTGGTGCATCTGCTCCACCATCACACGCCCTCTCCTTTTATGGGAAATAGATAAGATTTACTACTTTGAGTTTCTTTGCTCAGCACCTGGAAAAGTTGAAAGTGGCATTCACAGTTTTTATAGTAGAGACAGGTGAAGGAGAGCAAAAATAAGTAACTATGACGTACAGTACCTGGCATAATTCTTTAAGTAAACATTCTCTCTGATGTCTGCTGTCTCAACCACTCCCTGGTGGACCGAATATACCTCTCAAGGTCACATACAGTCAGTAGACGTGTGCAGCTTCAGCTCTGCTGGCAAGCTTCTTCGCTTTGGGTTCTCAGCCATGTTCGGCTTTGGTGGAAGGACTTTGGCTCTGGCAGAGAAATACCGGTGGATGTCCCCTAGTCAGCGGAGAGACTTTGCTGTACTCAAAGCCTTGGCCAAACTTCAGTAAGTACTTTCCTTGTGGCAAAAATTCTATATCCCAATGGCAATAACTATTAATAATGAATTTTATTATTTAGGCCAGAGGATTGCAAAATATCATTTTTACCAGCTGGATGCTCTCGGGATGAACAAGAAAGGTAAATAAAAGCTCTGTCTAATATCTTTACTCATCTCTATTTTTAATAAAATACATACACATGATTTGGCTGTATGCACCTGTATGCCTGTATGCACCATGTACATGTCTGGTGCCCACGGAGACCAGAGATACAGATAATTGTGAGCGGCCATGTGGTGCTAGGACGGAATGTGTGCCTTCTGCAAGAACAGTGTTTTGAACCCCTGAACCCCACTTTATTTCTCTTCAGATAATGAACTACAGTGACCTAGGTGGTTTATTAGACTTGTGCTTTTGGGCTATTTTCTCAAATACTAATAAAGAGTATAGAATCATATACTCCTGTATCTTCTAGTAAACATGGAGTTTACCTCCTGTCTTCAGAAGCAACCATTCCTCCAGAATGACAGTGAGATAATCAGTCATCCACTGATCTACCCATCTGACACTTATTTGAGTGCCCATCATGACTCAAGACTTTGGGTACAAACATGAGCCGCAAACACAGTTTTGGTCCCTATGAGAATTTTTGGAGTAGCATGGAATTTAAATGTTAAAGCAGCATTGAGGAAGAGTTCCAGGAATTAAAAAATGGAAAATGCTCCTTGTAACACATTTGTACATTTAGTGATAGTATACTAAGGAATGGTTTGTGCAAAATTATATGGGTTCTGTAGTCTCCTCATGTGTAGTGGATGCTGGCTTTGCACAAATGTGACATGTTTTTGTTCCTGTTACTTATAGAGATGCTCAGCAATCTCCAGGGTCTGGTGAGTCAGAAAGAATGTGCTGGAAGCCCTCCCCAGCCCTAGTGACTGGGGAGAGAAAGTAACCAGCCACTTCCAATTTCTTTAGAAAGTGCTGGTCAATGGCAAACCATCCAAGGGCAGTTCTTGAACATCAGCATCATGGCAATCCCCTGTCTGTGTTCAGTGGCACCCAGGGGCTTTGCCCCCAACACCAGGCAAGTACTTTGAGGACTATTGATGCTTAGATATTATAACTAATTACCTCCTTAGTAATGCTTTAACTATTAGCTAGCTAGAAATGTGTTAAGCATGTAGACTCGGATAAAAGTGCAGAGACTAAATGTCAGTGAATGGAGTGCTCAGCTACAAATGAGATATCCATATCATTCTCCTGACCCCCACCAAAGCTCAAGGACTATTGTGGAAGAGGGGTGGAAAGACTGTGAGACCCAGAGGTCAGAGGGTGATTGGAGAGGAAGTGTCTTCTGGGCAGGAGCACTGATGCATAAGATCTGTATAAGATCCAGCCAGTCATTGTTAGCATGGTGCAGGGAGGGGCTCATGATGAGGGGAGGAACTGTTGATGGCTTCTGGGAGGAAAGAGAGTCAGTTTTCTTAATAGTCACTGCCACTGGTAGTTGACCATGCTCTAGTGGGTGGACCCACATTCATGAGCTGGGCAACAGAAACTAGACTTTAGTGTGTTATTGGAAGATGAAAGACAACATGGATGTGTGAGAATGTAAGGAGGGGATCTGGGAGAAATTAGGGGAAGAAATCAGGGTTAATAATCAAAATACATCATATAAACTCAAAGAATAAAGTATTAATTTTTTAAAAGAATGGGGACTATGGATTGCAAAGGTAGTTTGTCTATGTACAATAATTAAATCTTCCTAAAGGATTCATGTGTAGAACAGATTGTGAACAATTTTTGAAATGTAAAAACTGTCATGTCTCCACTGGCTTTCTAACCCTCCGGCTAACGCATCCCTTGGGTCTCTTGACATGCCTGTGTGTTGTGCCTCCTTTGTTTGCTTTCTCTTCACTCCTCCTTGAGGATCTTATACTAAATGCTGACGTTTCCTGTGAATGTCTCTGCTCTCCCATTCTAATATAGGCATGCCCTTGGCATGAGAGCTGGAGACGGCCAAGTTCTTATGGACATGTGCTCCACTGGCATAGGGCTGGGTTATCTTGATGCTCTCAGTCAGAAACCAGAACATTTTGGTTCACTTAATGTGAACAGGGTGGATAGGAGACTCTTGGCTACATTTCAGTGAAATAAGCCATGGGGCATTTGATATCCTCACAGAATTAGAGGCATTCTTTGCTTTGCACATTTTTTTTTTTAAGCAAATGTCCATTTTGAATCCAAAAGTAGTTCTCTTCCAAATGCAAACAGGTAGCACAATGAGAAAGGATGGTTTTCTATAAAATCACACAACTAAGAAAAATGCCCCAGAAAGACAATGCCATGAGCACCCTGCTGCTGTTTTCAGAGGGAAGAGACAGAAGGCGGATAGTAGGAGTGCCGGACCCTACTTAACCCAGCCATTAAGAGCTTTGCTTTGAGCAATTCTTCTGATTGCCACTGTGTGCCTCCCACTGGGAATGGTCCATCCTTACACAGGATGAGTAAGCAGTGAGGTGATTTCGGAGGCTCTTCACAGCTCTGACCTCCATGTATTTAATGCTTTCTTGTAATGTCATTGTTATTCTCGGGACAACTTTGTTTTTGCACTGAAATTAAGCATGAAATTGTTTGCAAGTATTTCTGCAAAATGCCTCCTAAAGCTAAGGCATTTGTGGGTGGCTATGTTGGCACCAGACAACACTAGGATTTCTAGTCTCTCTTATTGGGTGGAAGATTATATGCAAGATTAAAATGCGAGATTAAAATGCTCCATCACTTGAATGAACATATGTGGTAGCTGTTGTTCCCCCATCTCCTCTACCCAGGGCACCGTGGTTTATTTTGTTTTCTATGTCACACAGAACTTTTGCTCATAAATAAACATTTTAACCACAGTTTGGATTTTAGAAAAACATCTACCTGCAGGTTATCTCAAATCATTTGTGAATATACAGCATGCTGCAATACACTTTTTAAAAAGTGTACAAAGCTTCACGTTTAGAATTCTTAAATAGTTATAGTTGTGGTGGATTTAATATTACTTTTGGATGTGACTAGGTGTGTGAAAGTTTGATTTTCAAAGAGCCCTGCAGTCAGGTTTTGCTGAGAAGAAATCCCAGGGATTAATAAAAGTCATCTAAAATGCTCTCTCACTTCAAGAGCACAGCAATATGTGGTTAAAAATTTTTAGGTCAGTTCAACATGGTAATGCTTTAAATATTGGTCAGTATCCTCTAGTGAGCACATTTGTTAGCCAAAACGCTATGGGGTAGTTTTAGTTATAGTCCATTGATGAACTTCTTGGTTCTCAAGCGCAGATGTTTAATTTCAGGTTAAACAATGGAAGCATGGCTCTCATAGTTGTACGGAACACCACTCGACAAGAATTTGTAAAGCACCTGAAAAGGTACTCCAGCATAAAGAATCAGGTACAGCCATCTTTCTGTTGCTTCTTTGCAAGGCTAATAATTATGAAGAGAAAGACGCTTCAGATATTAACACCAAGTCTGTTTTCATCTGCCTACATTAATCTCTTTTCCTAGACTTTCATTCAAAATTTGAAATGTGTATGCCAGCATTGCCATGCATTTGCTTCTTCTGACATATGGTTATACTTCTTTTCCCTTGTGCCAAGAAAAACCAAAATTCTAGTATTACATTGAAAAGCAAAGGAAGTGAGAGATACAATTGCACACACACAAGCTGTTCTTTAGAATGAAAAGTAGTGAAATTCGAGAGTTTTGTCTTCTTGGTTTCACAACAGCAGATCCTAAACTTGGGATGTTTAGGTTTTATGGGCACTTGCTGACAACTGGCTTCGTATTCACAGATTACAATAGGTTTGCAGATATGTGCTTACCCATTTTATAGATGATATTCAAAATGCATGAAGAGAGATTTCCACTTAAGTGGTTAGACTAAAAAAGAAATAGTACCTATGATGAGCTATATTCTCAGGCTCACAGTATGACCACCTGAGTCTTAAAGTACACAGGGGTGGCTGTAAAACCCAATGGTATGACAAATTCTTAAGGATATAAATGGTGCTTGGATATAGTTAGGAGGGGACCAATGGCAGGAGGAGGACAGTAAATCTAGCTAACCATCAGAGGCTGATTGTTGATCTCTCTCTCTCTCTCTCTCTCTCTCTCTCTCTCTCTCTCTCACACACACACACACACAGAGAGAGAGAGAGAGAGAGAGAGAGAGAGAGAGACTGAGACTGACTGTGTGTCTGTATCTACCTGTGGAAGCCACAAGAGGGAGTTGCATTTTCTTGAGCTGCAGTCAGAGGTGGTTGTGAGCTGTCTGACATTTGTACTAGGAACCAAACTTGGGTCCTTTGGAAAAGCAGCAAGCACTCTCAACAACTGAGCCATCTCTCCAGCCCCCGAGCTCAATTTCACACTACAATAAACAATTACACTTATATGGTATTTATAATCATATTTAATTCACATAGTGATTTCTATAAATTATAAACAAATGTAAAAATATTAATAGCATGTAATGTTTAAAAAAAAACTTTTCCATGTAAGACAACATATGTGTTAGTTACAGTAGGACTCACTGCTGTGGGATCAATCAGCAGGCTGGTGTGTGGGAAGGAGACAAATTCTACACTGCTTTAGCATTGCACCCTCTGAGCACATTTTCATGGTAGGAATATCAATGTTTGTGAAAAGCTGTAGAGCAACTGAAGATCACCTCACAGTTTTTATAGTAACTCCCACCTCAGTAAAATGGAGGGTAAAACTAACCTTCAGGGTCCCTTCAACTGCACCCTCTTCCTGGCTCTTCTCTCGCCCCACATTTCTTGGTTTCCGTGGCCTCCATTGGCGAATGATTTTAAAACTTCTAAATGAACTTTACATTCTTAGGACCTCATCTCCTGGGTGATCTCTTCGTTCCCATTATTTCAATTGTGTGCTCAGTTCCTCAAGGGTCTGAGCCTATCTTCAGATCTGCAAGGCCACCGTGCTGTAAGGTGTGTAAGGCCCCCTCCACTGACCTCCAGGCCAGCAGACCCACAGCTACCCTGACTCTTCCCCTTCCTCACTCTTTTCACTGCGGCAGCTGTCTGAAACCCCGCCCTGATCTCCTCAGTACATTACTCTGCCTGCTTCTGTTGGTTCTCATGTTTTTATTTCTCTGTCTTCTTAATTCAAACCTTCTTTTCACTTAGAATTACCTCTTGTATATCTTCAGTTTCTTTGTCTTGTCTTTTGTAATTCCTCCTTAAGGAGTTTTCCTAAAATAGCTGATTTCTCCTCTGCTTAACTCTTCAACAGGGACTGTAAAAGGAGACTACAATTTCATTTTCCGGCTACCGAGACCCAATAATCACACAAAACTATGTTAATACTGCTTGGCCAACAGCTCAGGCATATTCCTAGCTAGCTCTTATATCTTAAACCCATTTCTATTATTTTAGATTTTACCTTGAGGCTGTGGCCTACTGGTAAAGCTTTAGCATCTCTCTCCTTCAGTAGCTACATGGCATCTACTTGACTCCACTTTCTTTCTCCCTGCATTCAGTTTAGTTCATTCACCTAGCTCTATTCTGCCCTACCATAGGCCAAAATAGCTTCTTTATTAACCAATGGTAATAAAATATATTCACAGCATACAGAGGGGAATCCCACATCATCTCCCTCCCCTTTTTTTATCTGATAAAAAGGAAGGTTTTAACTTTAACATAGTAAAATTACATATAACAGAACAGGTATCAAGCAAGAATTATAGTTACAATATTTGTATCTAATTTATCTTTTATTATAATTATAACTATCTAGTTTTCAACTCCTATTACCTAAGTAAACAGGAAGTACATTGTAAACAACTTTCAAAGTTCTAGAATTGACAGAGACATCTTACTGCCTGGACAGTCCCCCAACGTTCTGCATCATTGGGGCATCCATCTTCAGCCTGTAGGCCCATAGTATCCGGCCCACTTTTCAGTGAAGCAGGAAATGTGAAGATTTGTTCTGCCATGCACTGGCAAAGCTCATCAGTTGCTTTCTTCTGTATCCTGCAGAATGGCTGGCAGTTTCCTCTGTGAAGCAGGAACCCTGAAGGACAATCCCATCTTTTGGAAAATTTAGCAGTCACTTTTCTGTGGGTCCTGTAAGTCCAGTTCATACAGCATCCCATCAAGCAGTGCAGACAAGAGCAGCTTCTTGCCCAAATGGCTAGTAAACTCCATAGGGAGACTCTTAGGTGACTATCATCCTCTTGAAGCAGACATGTCTCACTGTCAGGAAAAGTCTAAGTTCTTAAAACATTTTAAATGCCATATTCTGTAGGTTTCTGAGGAGTTGAAGGCTATCTAACTGAAATATATCTGTATAATCTAGAGAACCTAGCTAACATGAATACAAGTTTGGCTACTATAAATGATTATCTATTAACCTATAATTTTAATTACACATTAAATTTTAAATGAGCTGTATAAACATACCTTTAAAAAGAGTAGAAATATATACATATACATATAAATATATATATATATATGACAAAATTGACCTTAAATTTGTATCAATAAATCAAGATACATACCAATGTAAAGTATTCACTTCTATATCATAGCCCCTCTTAAATTAAAACAAATATTTATAAACAATCATTTTGGGAATTTGGATGTAGTTTTCTCCAAATGATTCCTGTTGTTTTTTGGTGAAGTATTTTTAGGATTCGTGAAGACCTTTCAGGGGTCTTGCCAATCAAAACACATTAGTATGGAAGGAATCCACAGGTTTTGATCCTCTGTGGAAACAAAAGCAGGACCTCTTTTCTAAAGCAACATATTCTAAGACTCAACTTTTGAAGTTAAGATACCTTTAGGATATATATGTTGGTTTAACTTAGCTGCCCTCAGAATCAAATGTCTTTCTGCAGTCAAAAAATTCAAAGAAAAAACAATATACATAATCCAGATTCTCTGTATTTTCCATCTTTATGTGGCTATTTTTTTTTTTACCCTTTACAGTCCAGATGTATTCCTAGCTAGCTCTTATGTCTTAAATGAACCCATTTCTATTATTTTATATTTTACTATGAGGCTGTGGCCTACCAGTAATGCTGTGCCATCTGTCTCCTTCAGCAGCTACATGGCATCTCTCCCTGACTCCACTTTCTTTCTCCTGGCATTCAGTTTCTGCCCTGCTATAGGCCAAAATCAGCTTCTTTATTAACAAGTGGTAATAGACGATATTTCCTCATCATGGATTACATGATAAACCATTTCTCACACTTCCAGGGCTAAGACTGACTATCAGCTGATTTAATTTTTCATGAGGGCATTGTCTCTTTGGAGCATAGTACTCGAGAACTCTGACTATATTTTCATGCGGCTGTCCCTTGGGACACAAGAATCCCTAGTATTTTTCCAATTAATTCAAATTTACACCCTCACAAGGACACAAGTCATGCTGGATTAGGGCTCTGCCACATAGATCTGTGTTTAATGTCATTGTGTCTTTAGAAACCTTATCTTCAAAGACTGTTATGTTCTGAAAGACCCTCAAGGTTAGGGCTTCAGCATATGAATTTTTAACTAGGGGACACAATTTATGCTAAATCTTTTTGTAAATGCGTTCTTCAAAGTACTTAAGATAACCAAATAATTTTTATTGGGAATACAGTTACTGTTACTAATCAATGATCATTTCAGATTTTAGAACAATGGCTTGGGAATTATCCCTTAATAAACATAGTCCTTCCTCCCCCTTCTGCATATAAACCCCAACGAAGCAAAATATACTATTAATTTGTTTTAATCAACTTATAGAAATTTCCCCCAAACCCATGTTTACAAAGAGCAAAGATTCAGGAGATATCATAGCTTAAACTGTACCAAGTTACCAATTGAAATCCATGGTCACCTCAACTCCAACCAACACTTATAGCTTGGATCTTGAGACTACTTGCATCATGACTCTAATTAGATATTCCACATTGGGGATAATGCCTGCCTCATGCTTACAGAAGCTACTGTGTAATCATTCATTTTGAAGGCTATGCATTTTCATGAGTTACCAAGAGCTGACTGCGAGGGACTAAGTCACATCTATTGCCTACCCAGATATTCAAGTCCAACCCTTGTTATCTTCGCACCTCATCCTGTTCAGAAGAAGGTTTTGTGCAGATATAATTGAGGATTCACTTTGAGGATTCACTGTTTTTCCAACCCCTGATAACTTCCTTTGGCAACAAAAAAAAAAAAATACAACATAAATATTACCCGGTGGCATTCTAGAACGATTAATCACAACTGTCTAAGCTTTGTGTCCATTTGCTAAATTGGTAGATGAACACCTGGGAATTCATATTTGATTGCCTTTTTTCCTTTCTCTTATGTACTTTTTATAAGTTTAGATTTAGGTTCTTCTGAATTAAATTCCAAGTGTGAAACTTAATGCTCAAGTTTGCTTCACATTAGCTAAACAAGGTAATAATGAAGTCTGTGGGATCAACTGAAAAGTCAATCATTAAGTTGAAATTACAGCATCAATATTGTTGGAAGTCCTTCACAAGTATGAACTGTCTGTAACAGTAGTGATGATCAAGTCTGGAAAGTTTGTTTTTTTCTTCTCCTGAAAACCTGGGGCAACTTGGTCAGAGTTTCCAAATGATAAAAATGTCATTACAATGGTGAACCTTATTTGTCATAAGGGGCACAACAAAGCATCACTATTTTAATTTCTTCTATGTAGTTCAACTTTCCTTTTGTGGAGACTTACACCATTGAGGAAGTGAAAATTCTCCCAAAGAGTCATAGCAGTGGACACAATCAGCAGGAGGAGGGTGGGGACCAAGCAACTCTTCCAGAAAACACTTTTCCTTGGAATGTAGATGGTGACTTAATGGAAGCTGCCTCCGAGGTCCACATTAGGTAAGCCCGACTGCTTCACCGTCTCTGTGTGGCATAGCAGCAGATGTAACAGAAGACGGGGATTCTTCCCTCTTAACTGTCCAAATAGATTACAAACTAGTAAGTTAGCAAACTGTAAAAAGACATGCATACCCTTCGATAAATACAAATAGGAGTATTTTGTACCAGCATCGCAAATCATTATTTTGCATGAGCTATACAAATAATTTGCTTACAGTTTACATTCCTTAACTTAGAGGGTAGTTTTAAGCCTTTTGAAAACAATACCGTTCCATAGTTTCTAGCCCTCTTCCCCAAATTGGGCTGAAATACTATAATACTGTTGAATATTGAGTTTAAAAAGGACTTGATTAAAAAGCAAGTCAGCATATAAAATAATGGGGGCTTTTGTCAAGTTTGGCAAAGCATTAGCCTCATTGTACATATTGCCAAGAGGGATGTGATGGACAGGAACCCACACTCTATCCTAGCAAGCCTTAATGGCTTGTTGCAGACTGATGTTGGGGGGGGGGGCACCCCCAGATGGGGTGTTCTCAAACAACTGGCTCTTCACAGAAATGCTGAAGAAGACCAGGCAGGAAAGGTGATCACGAAGGTTCTGGAATGGTCACAGATGAAGTTTTGATCCTTCAGCTTGCTGGCTGTGGTCCTGCTTTGAATGTAGGCTTGTGTTGTTCACCTGTGCGCTATGTACCACACACATGAGGTGTGTGGAAAATAACAGCTGCAGGTAAATGAAATGATCAATTTTATGTTATTTTTTTATAGACTGCACCCAAGACTGATCAGGCTTTATGGAGGAGGCCTGGAAGAAACGAATGATTCCAAAGTAGCGTGTAATTGCATATAGAAAAAATTTATATGAAGTATAAATATATTATGAAGGAATTTGGTATGCAATATATACACAAATAGGAAATGAATTTTTGAATGAAAATGTCTAAAACATCTATTTTAATGTAATTAAAAATAGTATGTTTGAAAATCAAGATAAAAATATGAAATCGATGAATAATCAAACTCTGATATTTGGAAGGCATTTGTTGGATCTAATATAAACATCCTGCTATATCAATATTATTGAAGATAATTCTTGTTATTAATTTTAATGATTTCCTATAGCCTGATAAAATACAGGTTTTATAAAATTTCCAACTCCACAGGGAGCTAGTAATATAACCATGAACAGCCACTTAATTAAAAAAAAAGCTTTTTCCACTTAGGCTATTGTCCCCCAACCCAAGTCCATAATGGCATCTTTGGAAGTAACAAGACGTTTAAGCTGATTATACAGGTAAAATTCTAAGTTTACAATAAGTTTTATTTAAAAATATACATAAAGTATCTTTCTAACTGGGCAGAAACTTGGCCCAGGAGGTAGCTGTGTTCCTTTGTACCTGACAGGCGGGGTGGAGCAGTTACAGCACTCAGTTTTCAGTGTAATGATCCAAATTTTCATTTCCTCAGAGACCATCCCTTAAAAAATAGGTCTAAACTGATACTGATTTTCATGGATTAAAACTGACACCTTCATGAGATAACTACTTGTATTTGCATGAGAAAATCATAAATATGCCTTTTTTATAAAAAATTCTTTACAAATACAAACAATTAAATGTTTTTTTGTGCATGCGCACCGGGAGTTGATGTTTTGTACTCAAGTTTCATAGCTCCCAAACCCCAGCACACACTTGTTTTTCAGCCACAGACCGCGGGCCCGTGAGCAGGCAACTGTTATGAATTGGGAAACGCCGAGGAAGGGCCAGCTGGCGGCAGGGGTTTCCTGTAAAGCAATCTTTCTTCTTAACAGCGAAGGCTGCCACTTTTATCCTACCCATGTTCAAAATCTGACTGTAGCTTTCTTATGCATAATAGATCCAGATGAGAAATATTTATCAGACCATGTGTATGGGATAAACAGTACAAAAATGGTTATGTAAAAACCCTGGTAGAAGACATTTCACTTTTGCATAGCATCAAATGTACATATCTCATGGGAACATTGATCACATCCCGTCTCTGTGTATAAGCTTCACCAGTGACTTGCTGTTCTGTCTGTGCTTCTCCGTCTCTATAGCATTGCTTTTTACAGCCCTGGTTACTGCGTGTTTCAACAGAACAAGGGAAACAACAACGTCATGACAGGTATTCATGTTTGTTTCGTTTGAAACAGTGAACATTCTATGACATGTCGGCTCCCTGGCCCTTTGCAGTTTGAAATCACCAGTGAGTTATGGTTCATATTATAACAGCTAAAGTGTGATGTTATGATCCGTAATGAGAAGACAGTCTTTAAGAACTGGTTTTACAAATAGATTATTGAAAAAAATATTCCTGGATGCTCTTGATAAAAGAAGAGGTGGGTGGTAACTGTATCTCTTAGAAAAGTGTATATACATAAAAAGAAGAGTCCACAGCTGGCCACTTACGCAGAATCCACACTTGTCCAGAAGCCATCCTGCGCTGCACGGATGTTGTGTAGCAGGCATTTAAAACTCACATCTGCAGAATAAAAGGGCCATAGGGAGACAGCCCAGGGATGACGCACACCAATGACAATCTTCCAATGTTTTAATTCCACTGTTTTAAAATGATTTATCCATCAGAAACCTCTGGAAACAGTTCTTTAACGAGTCTAAGTGGCTTCAAAGGTCATCATTATATTTTGAAAATATCTCAAGTATATTTGAATCCCACAAGTGCCCATTCTGTGGCATTTATCTCACCGCCGTGAGCTCGTGTAGTCCATGTCTCCTTGAAAGACAGTTCCTTTTAAATCTGCTTGGCTAAATCTGGAGTTTCTTTCAAGTTACCTTCTAAGTTCACTTTTCTTGAGTAAGTCAATAGCTTTAGTGTTTTTCTCTACTTTTGACTGCTGTAAAGCAGCCTTGGTGTATTTTCTTTTTTTGGAGATTTTCCCTGCATTAAGACATAATATGTTACAAGATCACAAGTATGTGTAAAAAGAGAAATTACCATGGGTCTCATGAGCAGGGTCTTTCCCCATCTACCTGAGGTCTTTGTTCATTGCTCTCGAGTCGTTAGTCATCGTCACCCTTGCTGTTGACATAACTCCAGCTGTCTCTCCTATTTTCTTCTTGAAGAATAGATTTGTACTGTCTTTTAAAGAACCCAGCCTGAAAACAGATCAGATAACGAGTGTATAATTTCAAACCCATAATATTCACATCAAATGTCTAATCAGTGTAGAATACTTTTAAAATTTTGCCCCGTGTTTCACAGGCTGCAAAGACAGTTGCAAAGGTAGTAATCCGTGTAGGATGTGCAAGGTTAACCCTGGGCTTATCGGTGATATATACATACCACAGCAATATTGGTTTTCAACATTATATACATTACAAATGGACTCTTAGAATAAATCTGAGATCAGTATTAAACATTCATCTAGAGATTAAAAACAAGAAGAGTATATACTCAACCTAATTGGCTTTGATACAACAGAGGTATTCTGAGTAATTTAATTATTGGTAATCATTAAAGGCGAACTGTTCATATAACACAAGAAAATAATTACTAAAGGATTACCTTCCACATAACACATGAAATTAATAAAAGTACGATAAGTCCCAGCAGCAAGCTGCTAGTAATAATCACGATGGTGAGATGCCGTTTGGGTCTTTGATGATGGAGCCCTTCCAGGAGAACCTGCACAACAGAGCAAATACATACTCAGAGCAGTGCTGAGTTTCCCTTAAAAGCCTCCAGACAGCAACAGAGAAGGGAACTCCCCATCCTGTCCTGGACCTAGTCTCAGTCCTTAGAAGCAGTGAGCAGAACGGCTCTATGGCTTTTCTTCCCATCCTGTCCTGAAGCTAGTCTCAGTCCTTGTGAGCAGTGAGCAGAACGGCTCTGTGACTCTTCTTCCCATCCTGCCTCTTCTCACAGCTACCCAAACACTCTCCGTGTTCTTCCCATCAGTTGCGGAAAGTGGGTAAAGTGTTGAAAGTCCTCTATGACCTGGTCACACACTGACTCCTTACTCGGATCCCCCAAAGGCACTACTTCTAAATTCCCTCAGACTGTTTCCCACACAGTCTTCACGCAGCCCCCAAGAGGGTGAACTTACATGGGCAACCTTCTCCTCCTTATTCAACTCAATAACTTTGGGGTGTGGCTCTGGAAAAGCTGTTGCTCTGATTTCAAACTTGAGCGATGAAGTCTCATCCTGTTTTGAAATCAGATAATCAACAGAGCTTGAGTCATAGTCTTATTCCATGCAGACAGGTCAATATCAATGCCAGCTTGGCTATCTAGAATCTCTGTAACTTACTAAACTATAATGGCTTCCTTTGGACTCAAAGGTATGACTATTTCATGGGTCCCCTTTAATTAAGTGTGGCTATGTTGCAAATCACTTGATTTAAATATTTTCCCCAGGTTATAGTGTGCAATAAATTATTAGTGATCAATATAGTTTTCTCAGTAATATTAAATTTTAACCCCCACACAAGCCTTCTTGATCTGGTAACATTTACTCACAAAGGCTTGCCTTTCATTTGCTTCTGAATAAAGTCCATGCATCCTACTTAGTGTCTCAGTGACAATATCCCACTCTAATAATAAAACCCATGTGCATGATCATGTGTGGCTGAATTCTGAGCTTTATTATTTCAAGTAGGGAGTCTGTAAAAGAATCCAGAAAGCTTGGGGATCTGTGAATGGACGTTGTAGGTTTTATGAATGTATATATATATTTGCACATGCATGGGAGTAAGTATAGTATTTAGATCTAATTTTAAAAAGTAACACCATGTATTTGCTTTGATGCACATGTGGAGATAGATGACAACTTGGTGGAGATCGTTTTCCTACCATGTGGTTCCTGGTCATCAAACTTAGGCCAGCATGATTGATGGAAGGGCTTCAACCACTGAGCGATTTTGCCAAGCTTATTATTTTTTTTGAAACAGTATCTCACAATCTCACGTAGCCAGGTTGACATTCAGCTTGCCATGGTTGCTGAGAATGACCTTGAATTTCTAATCTTAAGTGCTAGAACTATCATCAGTGTGAAGTACCACATACCCAGTTTCTGCCAGTGCTGTGGATTGAGTCCACAGCTTTGTGCATGCTAGGCAAGCACTCCCCCATTTGAGCTATACCTTGGTCCTAGTCTCTATATTCTTAAGGAGGTCTATCACCCCAAAATGCTAAAGTCTACTAGGTAAAGGTTATTTGACATCTATAGAACTAGAAATACAAACCTCACCTAGACCTAGAGCTTTCTTTCATTTGGAGGACTGGTTCTCCACGGGCAGTATATTGTGTAGAGACACCTTTTGACTGTAGGGATGGGAACAGTGGTGGGAACTGCCTGGTACATATGGCACTACTAAATGCCCTGCAGTGTGTATGACAGCCTGACAGGGAAGACTTTTCTGTCCACCATGTCAGTTGTGCCAAGAGAAACTTGGGCTTATGAGAAGCAGCTACCAAGGCGGAATGGCTTGCTGCTAGTCCTGGGACTTTAAGGAGTATCTGAAATTGAGATGGATGAGTGTCTGTGTCTCCTTCCACTGTCTGATAGAATACTCCTTGACCACTATGTGGTCATCTCAAAACATGCTACTGAATAGGAACAAAATTTGTCTCAATCTGCATCAGTCTTATCTATAGTGGCCACTGACACTAACTATGCTGACCAGATGGGGAAACGGAAAAAAAAATGCTTCAGGTTTTCTCCTGTCATCTAGGAGCTCTTCACAAAACATACTTTTAGAGCAAAAAGTTCAAAAGGCGTTTAATTCCTTTTTAACTTGAAGTTTTAAAGTTTGTTATTTTCAAAATGATATTTTGTTACCAAATTATGCTATAGTTGATATTTATTTTTGAGGCTGAGTCTCACGTGGTGTAAAAGGGTCTTGCATTCATTATGTATCTGATAATCTCAAGCTTGTAATCCTCCTGCCTCCACCTCTCAAGTGTTGGGCTTGCAGGCAGAACCACTACACCCAGGTTTAGCTGCTACATTTTGATGTTTCAGTTTTCTTTTCTTTGAAATCAAATTTTAATTTCACCTCTTGGTTTTAGTTTTTACACATTATCTTCTAAAGGATGATTTAAGGTTATGTGAACAAAAACGGAGTCAAGTTCCTCTGCTTACTTAATTGGTAGAGAGTGGCATCCATTCTAACCCAAACCTAGTGATCCACAGTTTATCTCTGTCCGTTGATGTAATGAGGTTTGGGCTTTCTTCCCAAGCTGCATTCTTCTCTCTGGAGTTTGTTGTGTGTTTGAATATTAACCCGCCTATGTGAAAATGACCAAGTTTGTAGCTCTACATCACAACGCTATGCGTCTGATTTTAGACTCACAATTTCCAAGATGGATGGCCGACCTTCCAGCTGGATATGAACGCTGGCTTCCTTCCCACTTTCCATTTTCCCGAAGTTGCATAAGAAATCTAAACAGTGTAGGTCAGCTTTCATGCAATACTTGAAAAGAATGTAAAAGCACTGTATTAACATTTTCTGCGTTTGAAAGATGAGCAGCTGGAGAAGCCGACTCAGTGAACAGAATGCCTGCCGTGAAGCATAAGGATTAATAAGAATCCGAATCCCCCAGTCCTGTGCAAAACTGGGGGAGACTGCATGCACCTCTAGTCCCACTTGTGTCTCGACCACGAGATGGCAGGTAGAGATGAAAGAAGTTCCAAGGGGCAGATAGTCTCAAACAAGGTAGAAGGTGAGAGCCAACCCCTATGGTTTCTTTCTGAACACCTTGCATGCACTGCAACACACCTGCATTCTCCAAAAATTTAAAGCATGAATTTTAAATCTGAAAACCTACTTCACATAGGTTAAAAATCTCCTTAGCATGCCACAAGGTGACTCAGTAGCAGGTCAAAGTACTTGCTGCCAAACCTGAAAACCTGGGTTCAAAATCCCAGAACCATTGTATAATTTTAGCTTGTCAAAAATCAGGTGTTCAGAAGTTCAGCAAATGGTGCTGGCATAACTGGATGTCAACATGTAGAAGAATGCAAATAGATCCATATCTAGTCCCATGCACAAAACTGAAGTTCAAATGAATCAAAGACTTCAACCTCAATGCAGCCACACTGAACCTCATAGAAGAGAAAGTGGTCACAAGAGACTACTTCCTAAATATAACCCCAGTAGCATAGACACTGAGAGCAACAGTTAATAAATGGTATCTCCTGAAATAGAAGCTTCTGTAAGAAAAAGGACACAGTCGACCAGACAAAACAGAAGCCTACAGAATGGGTAAAGATCTTCAACCCCACATCAGACAGAAAACTGATCTCCAAAATATAAAAACTCAAACTAGACATTAAAAATTGGGGTACAGATCTAAACATAATTTTCAACAGAAGAATTTCAAATGACTGAAAGACACTTTAGGAATTGCTCAACATCTTTAGCCATCAGAGAAACGTGAATCAAAATGATTCTGAGATACCACCTTACACCAGTCAGAATGGCTAAAAATCAAAAACACCAATGTCAGCTTATGCTGGAAAGGATGCAGAGTAAGGCGAACACTTCTCCATTGCTGGCGAGACTGCAAACTTACACAGCAGTCACTTTGGAAATCATTATGGCAATTTCTCAAAAAAATTGGGAATCTACCTCAAGATCCAGCAATACCAGTCTTGAACATATACCCTAAGGATTCGCACTCATACCACAACAACATTTGCTCATCCATGTTCATAGCAGTATTATTCATAATAGCCATAACCTGGAAACAACCCAGATGCCCCTCAACTGAAGAATGGATAAATAAAATGTGATACATTTCCACCAGGGAGTTCTACTCCGTGGTAAAAACAAAAACAAAACCCAACAAAAACCAATGACATCTTGAAATTTGCAGGCCAATGAATGGAATTAGAAAAGAAACCGTCCTGAGTAAGGTACCCAACAATTGCTCCCAGTGTGTCACCCAGACATTACACCTGAACCTTTGTGACATCAAGTCACCTGGGCAGCCAAATTCTTAGCAAGAGAGTCTCACTCTCCCTGTTTTAGTGACTTTACAAGAGAAACCGGTGAAGGTTTGAGACAAAAACCAGAGCGTGTAACCTAGGGAGACTATAATTGAACTTGGTTTTAAATGTTTTAGTTCTTTGTATATCTGAAAAATGGAAACTTACCAAGAGTCTCTTGTCTGTCTTTGATAAGAATTTGACTATGTCTGTCAAGGTCTCCGCTACGCCATTTTGCTGTTCTGATGTACACTCTCTTCCATAATGTTTATAATGGCATTGCCCCATAGTCGCCTAAAGACAGAAAACAAAAATCATGTCTCTTTAGAGAGAGCTGACACAACTTGACTTTAAAAGTTTCAATTTATTATTTTTACTAAAACACATTAAACATCTCCAAAATTGTGAAAATATATTTGACAAAATAGTAAATCTCTTGGCAAGTCTACAAACCAAGCCCCAAACAAATTATAGCCAGTGGGTCCTAGCTGACAACATGGTCTATCCTTACTGAAAAGGGGAAGAAAAATGGAAGGTGACCACTAACCTAAGTTGGTTTTACAGAATAAAATATGCTACAATTATACATCCCAGCATCTAAATCTGGAATTCAAAGTACATTTTAAAAAGTTTTTTTTTCCCAAACCCCTTACATAGGCTTTGCTGGGGATTGCTATTGCTTAATACCTAGAGGAAATCTCATGAACGAACACAGAAACTTGGCTTAAGAACCGACTCAAATGTTTCCTTAAAGAGGATTTCCCTTCCTATTCATGTTATAGTGGTGGCTTCAAGCTTCATGTAGCATTCTGTTAACTCTGTCTCCACAGGCTCATGTCCCAAAGAGATAATGTAAAACAGTTTATCAAGATGGAAGAACCAGGTTTTCTGATTGTGTATGACAACCTAAGTGTCACCTCTGGGCTGCAGTCCTGACGAAATGTACTATCCAAGGTCCTCTCAGCAAGTGCATACAGAAATCACAGCATCAAGTGGGGCTGAAGTGAACAGGAGTGTCCATCTTCACAACACTCCTTAGGATAAAGGGTTCGGATTTAAGACTCACAATAGAGGTCAGACAAAGGGAACATCTTTTTACCTGGACGTCCAAAACGTTGAACAACTTATCTGTTTGAGGGAGGAAAGAATTGGGTACCATTATTTCCACACTAACATTTGGAGCCATGCTAATGCCGGTGTTTATAACCTGAAAAAGAAAAGAATTTAAAAGTTTTTCATAATTATAAATGCAGAGTTACTAGCCAAAGTGGAGGATATATGATTGGCAGATAAACACAAGAGCAGGCAGAATATCCATAGCCATAATTTTTCCAGTTTTATCAGTTCAGATAGCCCCTCCAATCTACCTATCCCTGCTTTTCACTTTACCGTCGTATCTGGTAACCAAGCAGTGACACTTTCACGATGTAATCCAAGACTTGCATTTTGTACACCGCTATACTGCTCAGACAGTGCTTTTGATTAAGACAAACATTTCTGTAGACACTACCTCTTAACATCTGTGACCAGCCAAACTTTCTGCTTAACAGCTAAATTTTCAAAACTGAGTTTCATATTAGTATAATACTTCTATATGATAACATTTTTTGAACAAAAAAGAAAAGAAGAAGATTATTCAATACTGATGAAGCTTATCCTAATCCTGAAGCCTGGACGGCAGGCTAAGCACATTGATCCTGGAGAAGGTAAGGCAAATGCTCCCATTCCTTGATAATGTTGGGCTGCTTAAAGAGCCTGAAGCAACTATAGATTTCCTGATTTACTCACAATCATATTTCCCCTCGAATGTAACTTCAGAAGGGTCAGGAGACCCTAACCTCCCCCTGTTCCAGGAGTACACATATCTTAGAAAATTTGTAACAAGCAAAGTGAGAAAAGCAACATTAGCCTAAGAGGAAGGGGCCTGAGTCACAGAACAGCAGCCCTGCAGCCAGCCAGTAACTGAAGCTGAGGGATAGCGGGGACAGGAATTCCTCCGAGCAAGGCTTACGGCCAATCCTTTCTTCCTTCCCATATGCTACAAACATCAACAAAACCCAGCTTTGCTTACATGAAAGGTGAAGTTCAGCTTCTCCGTCATGCATGATTCTGGCTCATTTTCTTCACTTGATCCATAGACAAATGAAGTTGGGTTCACGAACCTGCCGGGAACAAGGTCAGCTTGAACGTATTGTCAATGCATGAGGGGCCATATAGTCCGGCTTTAGAGTTGGAATATAGCACATTTAAAAGCAACACAGAATCCTTTTCAGTTTCTCGGTCAGATAAAAGCTCTAGGAACTGATGAAACCAGGAGGCCGGGTGCTCTGTCCCGAGGGGCCATGCCTGTGCCAACCAGTCTATGTCCTTGCCTTCGCTATGCCTGCTGGCTTGCTGCCCGTTTGCACCTCTTCAGCCCTAAAATGATCTGTGCACGTTTGGCAAGCTTGGGGTGAAGCTGTAACTTTCCCTCGGGTGTGGTAGCGCCATGTAACCTGTTCACTAGTTCTCAATGGCTGGCTGAACCTCAAAATTCTGGGAACAAGGCAAACACCAAATTACATTTAAAAAAAATTTTTTTGGCTGGAAATTTTTTTTTAAACTTTTTAATCCACAATTAGCCAAATGTCTGCTGAGTGTAACCACCACTGAGAAAGTGCTGTTCTGGGGAACTCCTTCCTCTACAAGGCAGTAACATTCTGCAGCTAATTCTTCATATTTGAAATTAGGAGTCCTGCCTCCTGGAAAGGTGTTAGAAACAATTGGACAACACACACTTGTGCAGTTTAATACTTGTCGTTGTCCCGAATACCAGCATGTGACCAGTGGAACTGGAGGTGCTTGTCATGTGGAAAAGTGAGAAACAGCGTGGATGCTAGATGCTAGGAGACAGGAATCAGCTTCCGTTTGCTGCCCCGCTGACTCTCACGGCCGCCTTCTCTGGGAAGGACCATATTATCCCTCCTTCATAGAACTGATACTCAATTCCATCAGTTACACAGAAAGTGACATTTTATGTTGTTGGGTGCCTGCTTCATGCATGGTTAAAATGATAGAGGGATATTTTGTAATTAGAGCAATCAATAAAATTAATTTGTCCATTTTATTCTGTTAATTCATATCTTCGAGTGTTTTAAAAATGTATGCACGCATCTACCACCAAGAAGGAAGCGGCTCATGAGTCCACATCCCTAACTAAAAAGCTGTGGACAGCTAAGGATTTCTGCAGACGGAGTCAGTATTCTTTGTGTGTTTGGTTCAGGGTAGGTTGATCGTACTTCAGTGGCTGGCCCCATACTCAGGAATACATGGGCAGCGTAAATTAGAGCTTGTGGGTTTTTTTTTTCTAACGACATGAATTTGGGGCTGTTCTGGGTGGGAGGGAGAGTGGATCTGGGTGGAGTTAGGGAGAGGAATTGATAGAGGAATATGATCAAAACACTGCATAAAATAAAAAGTTAAATGCACGTAGTATGGTGGCTATTGGGAATGCTGGTTCTTGCGTATAGAGCTGACATTCAGGACACAGAGCCAAATGTGATGATCAGGATGATGGCCAAAGCCTCAAGGACAGCCTTCTCATCTGCATCAATCGCAGGCCAGTCTAGACCACACAGAGAGAAACTGTCTCTAAAACAACCAAAACGTTCAAGACACAGACTAAGAGCTTGACAAACTGCCAGTGGAGTCATTGAAAGTTTTGTTACTCCCCTCTTTCATTCTGTAACCATACACTTTGAACCAGAGAAGAATCCACTCAGAAATGGCTAAAACCACAAGAAAACAGTAAAGCTGGCCCCAGGATTCTAACTGAGGAGCACTCTTGGGGTTCAGGAATAGACAGAAGCACCTCCCAGCCGGCTCTCTCATTTCTTAGTCATTTGCCACACAGGTAGACGTGGTCTCTGGAGAGTGGCAGTTCAGTGCCCAGTCCTTTGTGTCTCCCCCACTATGGCCACTGGGTACCATGCCATCCGCTGCACCCTACGGAACTCTGTGCCCCTTGGTTGCACATGGAGGAATGGCCGTGGCCCGCTGAGAGCTTATTGGGGCTCTTCCAGTACAAAATCTCTAGCAGCTGGCCATGAGTTTGATGTAGCATCAGAGCTGATTACAGAGTGGATTAAAATAATAAATCACCAATCAAGCGACTGCGCTCAGAGGCAATCATGGAGACACAGTATCTTTCCCATGTAGATGTGTTCAAACACAGGCCTTTCATTAATACAAAGAAAGAGCCAGCAGGGGGAATCCTCTCTAACCCAGAGGCCTCTGCCTCTGCTTACCCGTGAACCGTCAGCGCAACTTCATATCTTAGAGGAATCACTAATGTCACGTTGTTGTCCTTCATTCTGTCCATTTCTTCTTCGTTTTCACTGTAGAAACAGAAGATGATATGAGAACTCAGCCACAGAGAGCACAGACTGCACACTATGCAGACTTAATAGGGGGCTGTTTAGTAGCATCGGGGAAAGTAGGAAACAAACGAGAAATGACAACAGGACATTTTAGGACGAGGTTGGCAGAAACCGTTCTGTTGCCATTTTTGGACAACGGAACACGACTTCATGGATCCCTGGAAGCCATGTCCAGAATGTGGCTTGTGTTGTGTAACAGCTAGTTCTTGCACACTGAACCATACCAGGAGGTGTGCACAGTGATGCTGAGGTCCTCATCTGCCCTGCTGAGTGAGCTCACGTCCAGGAGGAAGCTAATATCTGTCTGGAAAGCAGAGGGAGAGACCCAGTTTTTATGCTAAAATACATTTTTACAGATTGAGTATGTTTCATTTCTCTTAAAAGATTTTGTTGTTTCTCAAGGAAAACAGAGTGGAAGATTCAGATGTGGTGGAAGCACCACCCTTCCCTGGGTAGCAAGACCCAGAAGCGGTTGGGTTGGACGCAGCAGTGTTTCCATGCCTCACTTCCAGAAACAAAGCCTGCTCTAAATGTGAAGACTGGCAGGCCCAGACGGACACCATTAGGAAAGCTTTAACAACTTGGTTGAGGACTCTTGCCAAAAACACCTTTTTTGTATAGCAGAGGTAACATGCCTGGCAGACAGGGCCACCTGGGGTGGGGGTGGGGGTGTTGGAAAAGAGTGAACAGGCGAGGAGCATTCTGATTGACACATTTTCTTGCCTGTCTTGACATAAACAGGTTCCCCGCTCACCCCCACCTCACCCCCAAACAATGAACACTGCTAAGAAGTTAAACACAAAGCTCACAGACTTCAGGACACTTCGGTCACACTTAGCTTCACAATTAAGCTCGTTTAAAAAGACATTTTTAATGAAACATGAAGGTAGAAAAACACATTCCTATTAGGCAAATGAAAATCACGAACACTTAAATGCTTACCCTTGAGAGACGATCCACATAGATGTAACCGAGGCTGCAGGCGAGTTTCACCAGGCCAGAGCTCCCAGTCACTTCACAGTTTATTTGTTTCTCTTCCTAAAGGAAAAAGTAAAAATAAAACAGTCGGGGGAAAAAGAGAGTTAGACATTCATAACATGTTTAGGGGTGGTTTTTAAAATTATTTTTAGCAAATAATTTTCTACTTAGCTTGGAAATGATATGTAGAATTATATAACAGATAGTACAGATGTGTATATATAAGCAATATGCATATAGTTATACCCATGTGAGTTCCCCATAAACAGCCCCTGGGTGTGAGCTCTCTTGTTTCCCACTTTCTCTAAGAGGAACTTCTTTGAAACATTAGGGGACAAGGAAGCAAGAGGTCTGAATTTCCTTCTGTCTGATGTATATGAAATGTGTTTAAAGTGTTTAATTGTAGTAAGATAATCATAATAGCAATATATCAAAGTATAGGTTCTGAGTACCTAGAACTTTTCCTCCTCTCTGAAGTGGCTGTTCTGTGGTCTAGAAAGAGGGGTAAAGAGCTACCTTTAAAAGGTGGCAGCTCTCTGGGGTTGACTGGCTAGAGGGCAGAGAGATCTCGAGGCAAGTGTGCTGGAGACTTCTCTGTGCAAGCTCCACCTTACCAGTACTTCACTGGTGGATACAGTGGCAATAATCTCAGTGCTTTGGTAACATAAGATGTATGTGTACTCCAGAACCAGACTTGAAAAGGGGATTTCAGGACTGAGGAAGGCTGACAGTCCGGAAGAACTCAGTGAAGGCTGAGACCCTCCACTTAGAACGGAGAGCAGGAATTCTGGGTTCCTTAGCATGAAGGATGCTCCAAGTTGAGCATCATTAGCATCTTAAAACCATGGCGGGGATGAAGTAGTGGTACTCAAGGAGTTCTCTCCAAGGAACTTGTATCTCAGAGCCAGGGCACAAAGAACATCTCAAAATAACCAGGAGACTCAGGGACGTCGAAACGTTAAGATGAAAACGTCAGTTGTATATATTAAATTAGTGGAGTAAATATGGTCCTTAAGTTTGTTTATATTAAATTAGTGGAGTAAATATGGTCCTTAAATTTGTTTTGAACTTGAGTGCTGCATTCTACTATTGTGGTTTCTAGCACTTACCAGGTCTAAGATCTTAATAAAGTAAAGGCCTGTGGGGAGTTGGATGCTCAGGGTCGTTTCATACGCATCGTCGCCAGCATTGAACACAGATACATTTAGCATTATGGTCTTCATGCTCCCAACAGCGAGATAGGTTTTATTTTCATATGGCCTAGAAATTAAGTAATTTAAGTAAAAAAAATTCTTCCTCCATATAAAACATTTATAATATAAACTATTAACTTAGAAAAACAACCATGGATGATCTCATACAAGCAGATTTAAAACTTCCTTTTCTCATTTCAGATATGTTCAATCAGCTGCTCCCAAAGAAAAGTTTGATACTATTGTTTGATTTTTAATTAGTTATTATAATTAAATTGTTTTAATTATTATTATTATTTATTAATGTTATAATTAAATTGCTTTCATGCCCTTTTGCTTAATACATTTTCCTCAATATTTTGTTTTCATTTAATCTTTGAAAAGACATTGATTGAACTAGGTTCTACCTAGAAGAGGGGGAAACTTGAGGAAGAGGGGGGATGAGAAAACATAAGGGGATTTTGGCAGAAGTACAGCAGAGAACCATGCTGGCCAACAGGTGTGTGGTACAGAGATCCACTGAACGAGATTACATTGCTGGAGCAGTTAACTGGTTGCCTCTGACAAAGCTAAATGACAGAAATGATTCACTGTCCTATGAACTGCAAAACAAAGGTCACTAGAGATATAAACATGTGGGCACAGCCATCAGGAAAGCCACCAGCCTGGCTGAAGCCGGGTTTCACTCAGCTCTGCTGGGCCTTGGCAATCTATAATGACAATAAAATGACTATTGGTGAATATGTGGATCAAGTGCATTCCATAAAATCCTTAAAATGTTCCAAGTATGCAGAACTTCGGACAGAATGAAGATGTTCAAAGCTACAGGAGCTAGAATATTCTAAACCCTTGAGCCGATTGTTCCTTTCTTCAGAACATGATGTCTACCTTTTTCAGGAGGGAAACTAAAAATAAATAAAAATAAAAATAAAATTTTCATAACTTCTAGTTACAATGTGTTCTGATTTTCTAAATCTAAATTTTCCCCATAGCCATCAAGTAATTCCAAAATTAGGAAAACTGGGTTAATTAATTCATACTAGAGAAGGATGTATGCCAAAACAACCAGGTGGAGACAGTCTAACCAAAAGGCATAAAAGGATGTATAAGAACACATTTAAGATCTGTGATGTAAAGTAATTCTTGGAGGTGAACGAAGAACGAATCACCTTGTAAACTGCAGGACCCAGGTAGTATGTCAGCCACTATGCTGATTTCTCACAAAGCATTGTGTTAAAATTCATTTCTGCATCTCTCAGGAAAGATAAAGGACATATTTCTGAATAACTGTTAATAACTGTTAGAAATACACAGGAATGACTCGTGAATGACCAGCTCTTGCAGAGGAGGTAAGGACCTAGACTTTCGCCGAGGGCGGGAAAAGCATTGCTATTCTTTGCTTTTCTATTTATCTGGTTATTCAGGTTTGTTGCTCTTCATGATCTTTTTGAAAATAAAAGGTTGACCTTTTTGGAGTCGATGTGGTTACCTCTGATTTCTGTTTCACACTCATTCTGTCCTCCTCTATTACACCAACAGTGCCAACTGGAAATTGCCTGTAGCAGCCAAGTGCTGCCAGTGACAGAGAGAGAGAGAGAGAGAGAGAGAGAGACAGAGAGAGAGAGAGAGAGACAGAGACAGAGAGAGAGACAGAGACACAGACAGAGAGACAGACAGACAGAGAGAGAGAGACAGAGAGAGAGAAGCAGCCTCACCTCTCAATATGACCCTGGGGCCCTGGAGAGCTGGCCTTTGCCTCACACCCCAGCATACAGGGCATTCCTTTGTTTTAGCTGCATCTGCTTACAGACAGCAACCTGAACACGAGATGCTTTCTAACTTTCTCCAAGCTCCTGCCACTTTGAGTGTTTTCTCCCTGTTAGGTAGCAGCTTAGCTTGAGCTTGCTCTGGGTGGTCAGTTTAAGCAGCAGTCACATCCAGGAAACGTGGAGAAGCCTATCGTACAATGCCAAGTCAGTTTCTCTCAGCACTAGTCTACATTGTCATGGAAGCAAGAAGCTGGATTGTGGCTACCTGAGTTTTCTATGAGCCTAGAAATATAGTTACCATGTCAACAAATGAGTACCAGATGAAAAGGGCTGAGTTACATTCAAGAGGCAAATAAAAAAGCCAAAAAATGTATTGGATATGTTATTTGCTTTTAAAGGCTCATGAAACCTTCAATCTATATTCTGTGGAATTGTAGCTAGATGGAATGCTTGTCTGTTCTAAAGTGATACAGATATTTCAAATGTCTCACTAAGAAACTTAATATCCAGTACTGTGAAGTCCTGTGATCTCCACCCTCACCCACATCTGAATATGTTAGCAGAGATGTAGCTCCTGAAATGGCCAGGCTAATGACACAATACAACAAAGGGAAAATCAACATTGGAAAGGGAAAATTAGTTTCCAAACTTAATAAGTCTTATGAACCTCAGAGACAATGTTGTAGCTCAAACCCTTTCCCCACACTTAAAAGTCCAAGAGTAAATCTCTAAGAAACAGGGCCACTCACTCACTAGGTAAAGATTCTGTGCCTTTGATTCTGATACTTTCTCCTATCAAAGCTGCTTGCATAGAGGTAAGCAAACATCCTAAGGAGAAGCTCATTAACCGTGATAAGAATGGATACATGTGTGAAGCTGGAACCCAAACCAAGAAAAGACACTCTCCACATGAACATAATGGGGGCCTCTCCCCCAGTTACTGCCCAGATCACTAACTTTTAAAATCTAATACTCGCCTAGTTTTATATTTCATAAAATATTAGAGAGTGTGTAATCCTTCTCTGTAACTTTGATTTTGAGTGTAGTTTCTTTTATTAAAAATATCATCAATAAAATTAACTTCAATCAGTGATTGCAAATGTCTATGATCCAACCTAGGAGACATTTCCCTGACTTTCTCACTCAGGGATCTTCAGGGCTTCAGCAATCGCCAGTGTAAAATGATAATAGTCTCATGCTGAATATATACATGAAGTTTTGCTGTGTATTATCTTTTTCCCGCCCTCCTCTCCTCCCCCCCTCCCTGGATTTCTGTTTATCTGAGAGAACTTTAATTTCTTAAAAATCTTTGGACCTTGGCTTAGGGAACTAAAATAAGTTATACAAACAAAATAAATCATATAACAAATTATATTATAAGAAACCATTTTTAAAATAAGGCTAACAGATTGCCACATTAAAAGTAAGCAGGTCAATAGAGCAGGCATCTGGAAACTCCTGCCTAACGGTAGAAGTCATTCCTTTCCTCTCACTTTTGCACAATAATAACACAGAGGAGCAATAGAGACTGAGTGCACTGTCCCAAGAAATTTAAAATATTACTTTCTCTTGATAGAAAAGATTAGGCTAGTCCCTGCTATAGAACTTATCTGACAGATAAAATGAATTTCAAGTCAAACAAGCAATGTGGTATGCCTAGCCTTAACTAAAATCCATTATTTTGCTGTTGTTTTCTGTTTTGTGTTGGATGTTCTTTGTGGAATAGAGTCATAAGAGTCTTGTGATATGTAGTCCCAGCTGGCCTTGAACTTCCGACTGCAGGTGTACGTCAGCATGCCTGGGTCCATTCTTAGCTCAACAGAGGTTTCCTTTTATTTTATCCTGCACAGGCTATAGGCTTTCCCCTAAGAAACCATGTAGAAGTAGAGAAAGTAATCCAGCCCCCAAGCACCCAGTAGAAGAGAAAAAATAAAGGGCACCCCATGTGAACCACTTCTTCCTGAGCCTTGAATTTGAGAGACTGCACAAAGAACATGGAAAAAGCAACAGAGTCGTCATCCTAGGTCCTGGCTCTCATTTCATCCTGGAATTGACTGAGCGCTCACGAGCTATCCCTGCAGTTAGGAGGTGGCGCGGTTTGCCCAGGTTGTGAGCCTTTGGGCTTAGCTAGCACGCTTCTCCTTGGCAGTGCATGTCAAACGGAGAGGAGAGAGCCACGCTGCCTTCCCCCTACGGTTCCTTCATCACGTTACTACCAAAGGGACTTTCAGGGTTCTCTAAAAGTAAACTTCAGCTTGACATTAAAGTTTAATTAAGACTTGTACAAAAGCTGCTTAGAAATAGATGTTTATAAAATATTCTGGCTCAGAACCAAGGCATTAGTCAGTGAACACCTTTGGGAGAGAAGCTGGCACTTCGACAAGCAACAGAAGGTGGAAGCGTGGCACGCACAGGCAGTTGCGGAGACAGCAGCCGATCAGAGCCGCTCCGGGCTCACACTGTCAGCAAGACCCCGGGTTTAGTTTCTACTTTAAGCTATTTTGCACAATTAACCACAGGCCTAACTCTACTCTTTTTAAACGTACGTCTCACCGTAGATTTTGATTCTTTAACAAGATGCTGTTGGAAAGGCCCCCGTCAGCATCCTACATGACAAGAGGCAGAGCCAACTGCACATCTGGACGGGTGGCGCAACTGAACCAGCGGCTTCCTCGGGACTCACAGCTCACTCTTCATTAAAGCATGCATAATGCAGGCTTGAAATTTACAAAGCTGCTTAGAATCCACATAACTGACAAGGACCCAGGTACTGTGCACACACAGAATCCTAACTTAATAAACGAAAGAGGAAGCGAGCAAGCTGGAAGATCAGGCCATACATGTTCTCTCAGTGAATGTGACTGTATTTTACAAGATGTTCCTAAAACCTTAGAATCATCAGTACATTCTTTCTTGATAAAAGTCAGTTTGGTCTCTGTAGCTTACTTATCTTTGTTCAGGATGGTAGGGACCAAAAAAGAAAGACGGGAAGAGGAGGAAGGAATGAGGAAGAAAGAAAAAGATGCCAGAGCAAAATCAATGCGAACGCTTCCTACATTTCAATGTTTAAAGGTGCAGAGCAGATTAGACAGAAAGTTGCCTTCAGCAAGTGTCTTCCAATCCAAAGTCAAATTTTACACTCTTCTCTCTTTTTCTTTATTATTGCAGCAGAAATAAAACATGGAGGATTCCTTCCAGCTGGGATCGACCAATTAATTATCCTGCTTTACTGAATAGAAGCAAACTTGATAAGTTTAAGGGAAGAATTGAAAAAGAGCTTGGGGTGGGAAGAGGCAGG